TCAGCAGGACAGCTGACTTTACCCATGGAAGCTGGGCTAGTGGAGTTCACCAAAATTAGCAAGAAACTCAAGTAAGGGATGTTTAGCTGTTGGTAACATAATTACTGCAGTGCTGCAGATGTTGATGGCCATCTATAAAAGGATAAATTGCCTGACATCCGACTTGGTCATATGTAATATAATGTATTTATATATACAACCTTCACACATAGCTTATATAGAAATCAGAGATAAGAAAAATCTCAGTATGAAGTAATCCCAAGTAATTTTTTTGGACAGGGCCACAACAGGACAAATGCATTTAGCTAATCTTTTATCACCAAAAGGTGAGGAAGATAGAGCAGTACCTATTTTAGGCACTTGAATCTTGGTGCCTAATTTAAACTGGTTTTATGGATATGCACAGGCAGTTTGTGGTAGGAAGTAAAAAACCTCTCCAGCCTGAGAGTTCAGCTAGGGGCTTACTGTTCTTAGTTGTAGTGTGCAGCCATATTCCACTAGTGGTGTTGACATTTTCTGTCTGGATACAGTGGAATCTGAGGGCTGAACCACTTAATCATGCACTAACTCCATCAATTATCTGTCTTGGTTGTAGTCAGATCTGAAGTATGTGCACAGTGAGTCTTGACTTACTACGTATGGGTTTCAAATCCATTTATACAACACTGTCTAGAACCATCTTCAATAATGACATGGCAATCCTAATTATTCTTACTGAGCTGCAGTGGTGTATTTCTGCAGAGAGATCAGATACTTCTCAGGCTGTGGTGTTACTAGTATTTGGGCAAAGAGTTAGCTAACAGAGCTGAAATCTAGCCTAGGAACTGGACAGATGATTCTCGTTTGTGAAGTTACTCTAAGGAAGTCTAATATATCCAGGTGTAGAACTATCGGCTCCTAATAACTGAGGGAACAGTTCTAATAGCTGATTTCATGTGAAATACCAGGTTGGAAGTACCCCCATACTCTGGCTATTTTTTGTCTTTGAACACTGTAATAACTCCTACTGAAATTCCATCTGTCCAAGATCAGTTGTATAGAAATATCTCCTCTCCCTCATGTTTGCATAGCCTAAAATGGAATCATGTCAGAGAGCAGTTGGATACCTTTGCTGCTATTGCAAGTGCTTCCAAAGGAGGAAGAATTGGAATTGAGGAGTTTGCAGAGTACTTGAAGCTGCCTATTTCGGATGTCCTTAAAGAGCTGTTTCTACTCTTTGACAGGGTGAGTAGTTGGTTAACTGAATTCTTGACAATGTTTTACTGAAAATCACATGCCAAAAGGATATTTAATTATTTATGTCCAGCTTAGTAAATGCTTCTTGGTTAGCAATTCCTGTAGGCAAGATAGCTGACTCCTACAGTTTTCTTCTTCAGTTTTGATGGAAGAAGGCCAGTCAGTTTGTAGCTTGTGAGATGACAGCCATCTCTTGGACGAAGTTGCTGTGCCATCAAATGATAATCTCCATGCTAGTAATGGCTGACTGCTCCTTTTGCCTACCCCAGATTTTGAGCTTATGTGCACTCTGACAGCTTAATTAACTGATGTAGCTGTAGAGTAGATAATTGAAGGCAAATGGAAACTGACTAGAGTGTATGTTCTTGCTGTGTTTGTGAAGGGTGTTATTAAACATTAAAAGGACTCCTTACCTATCTTCAGCATAAAGGAAGCTGTGTGTTAATCTGATCAGTTGGGCTTTCCCTCATAGTCTGTGGCCATCCCTCCCATTTTCTGCTTCTTTCTGAAGATGAGAAAAATTGCCCTGTGCATGCACTCTTGTAACTATACCAGGATAGCATAGAATATACTAGACTATATACATGCCTATTCTAGAGCATAGCATAGAATTCATCTTACTTCTAGGCATCCAATATGGGCTACATTGCAAGCAGCACCTTGTACTGCAAGTGCTTATGAACTAAAGTTTGTTTCTTATTGTAGAGGCTCTCCCAGTTCAGCATGACTCTTCCTGATCGAGTTAGCTTTAGCAGTACACCTGTCCTTGGAAGGTCACTGGGTTGTATATGTGGAATAAAACTGTTTGAGGATTTTTCCAGATGAAAAAGGTTTTACCAGCTTAAAAAGAAAGAATAACCTAATGTATTTCCTTAATTGCTGAACGCATTGAAGTTCTTCCTTCATTCTTGCCTCCCCATCTTGCACCACGCCTATGAACAGGTAGTGTGAGTCCTGAAGCACAATACATAAAATGGAAATATGGTTTGGCAACCAAAATAGTTCAGAGCAATAAACATTCCTTTCGCTTTTATATCTGGCACAACATCTTCAGTGACTAGAATCAGGAATGTAATGCTCAATTAACTGAAAAGTTGAAGGCATATAAGATTGCAAAAACATACAAGACTGTAGTAAACTTTTGCTACTTTGATCTTTAAGGATATCAGCTTAACCAAGGAACGGTCACACTGATGTGGAAGGGCTTTTTTCAAATTGCATTAATTATAAGCACAGGTATTTTGAGACTCCTGCTCTGTGGCTTTCAGCCTCATCATTGTTTTGCTTTTCTAATAAGATTCCTTAAATCACAAGTTCAGAATGCAGAGAAGAAAAAAAAAAGAAGCATATCAGCAATTGACAGAAACTACTGAGGTGTGGGATGACTGGCAGCTGGAGACATGCACAGACATGGTGAGGTCTAAGCAGGCAGATAAGCTGTGTTTGTTACCACGCCCAGCTCAGAGACATAAAGGCGTTGGAGAGTTACAGAAGTGCTGGATCTCTGAGAAGCTCCCTTCAAGAAATCTTTGCAATGTTCCTCGTTAAAGCTTTGCTGAGTGGAGGAAGTGGCAGCAGTCATGGAGGGAGCCTTGCACGTGGCCTTGGAGGTCTCCTAACAGGAGGTGGACATGGAGGGAATATTGGAGGACTTGTTGGAGGTCTTGTCAACCTTATAAGTGAAGCAGCAGCTCAGTATAACCCAGAGCCACCTCCACCTCCTCACAGTCATTTTACCAATGTGGAAGCTTATGAGAGTGATGAGATCAGACAGTTCCGTCGCCTTTTTGCCCAGCTGGCTGGAGATGATATGGAAGTGAATGCCACAGAGCTAAGGGACATCCTGAACAAAGTTGTTTCCAGACATCAAGACTTGAAGACAGAAGGCTTCAGCTTAGACACGTGCCGTAGCATGGTAGCTGTCATGGACAGTGACACAAATGGCAAACTGGGCTTTGAAGAGTTTAAGTATCTGTGGAACAACATCAAAAAATGGCAATGTGTGTACAAGCAGTACGACACCGATCAGTCAGGCACTGTTGGCAGAGCTCAGGTGCCAGGTGCCTTGAAGGCTGCTGGGTTCCATCTGAGCGAGCAGCTCTGCCAGGTGCTGGTGCGCAGGTACGCGGACGGGGACGGCAGCTTGGATTTCAACAACTTCATTAGCTGCTTGGTACGACTGGACAGCATGTTCCGGGCCTTCAAGTCCCTGGACCACGATGGAGATGGACAGATCAAAATGACCATTGAAGACTGGCTGCAGCTGACCATGTATTCGTGAAGGCATAGCAGAGAAGAATAAGCTTCATCTGAAGATATACATGGAAGACTGCAATGCTGTACTATAGAGCTGTAGTCTTTTCCTTATTCTAAGGCAGATGTGGGTAGCTGAGCTTATAGTGCTGTGATTCTTCTTGTGCATGCATTAGTTTGATTTTCTGAAGGGTTTGGGTAAGTTGTTAGTTGTGTAAGTCTGTCTAAGAAACTATCTTCAAACTGAGGGAATATGTTGAAGGATCAAAGATTAGTTATTTCTTCATGTAAAGTGGCTTGTATATAACTATTAACTAAAAGGCTCATAAGTTCGGCATTTCTCTGTGATGCTACTGTTTTGATTTGTCAGCATTTGCTAAGCTGGAATAAAGCTCTGCCTGCCTGAAGGCAATCATTAGGTAAGAGAGTTGTGCAGTTATTCCTAACAAGGAGAAAAACATGAGAGTTGCCATAGTTATAATGGTCAATGAATTTACATAATCATATAATTTCCTCCCTACTTCTGCTTTTTCATGCTTGTCTCCTGAAGCAAAACCTGAGTGATATTGTCAGTTCTACCTGCCAGCCAGGACAAAATTGAAGATGTATCGGGCTACTGTTACAACCTTTTTCTCCTTCCTACAATTCTATTAACTAGTCTTTTCTCTTTTTTCTTGAAGCCTTATTATAGTTATAATGAAAACAACTTAAAATACTACATTTATATTTAGAGAGGCTTGCTGTAATAATGCAGTCACAGAACAGCCAGCCAGCCAAAATCAACCTCTGGCGTTTTTTAGTTAAATTTTATCAGGGTGCAGTGTCCCATGCAAGCCAGTTATGCAGTTTTGTCTAAGATATCAATTTGAGGAAAAGGAATAACATGAACTGTCAAAGGTGCATTTCCTTGAATTAAGGATTGCACAGTTGATGAAAACTGCTCTGGCACTACAATGTAACAAGGCAGATTTTTCAGCAGGGCTCTGCTGCTTTAGAAGGAACTTGCTGAGGGTGTGTGCTAGCTGACTGGAATGTGAAAGGATGAGTTGAGCAGCAAGGCCTCTGCACTACTGTAGTCTCCAGATTTAAGAGTGCACCTGCCCCTCCCAGGGAGACATCCGTGACTAATTGAGAAATACCACACAATACCTGCAGGGCACTTGGCCTAATAGTATTTTCCAAACTGATGAAATCTTCCTGCTGGTATACCTGCAGAAGTTTTTACTTGCAACTTAGGAAAAAGTGACTTACAACCTCTGCCTGCTTTTTTCCTCCTGCACTTTAATACTAGGCTGACTGAAACAGTATAAATATTCAGATTGGCCCAAATGGTGATGAAAGAGGTCAGTTCTTCCTAATGGCATTCACCTCTCTCAGTTATTCAATGGAAAAGCACAGTTATCCACAGTGCTGTTGGTGCTGGTCACAGAAAAGTCAGCACAAGGGGAAGTGCAACACCTCCAGGTGAGCACCACCCTACAAGGTTTGTTTCCCTTTCTGACTAGTTAGAACTTGCATGTATCAACAAGCAGTGGAAATTTTGGAGTCATCATCTTAGATGATGAGCCTGGATATAAATGTGAGAGGTGCATCTGTGGTTCTGCCACACTTTGGTCCAGATCTAGCTTCTCTGGAGTAGCAGCCCTGTAAGTGACACAGGGTTTCCCTCACTGAAGACAGTCACAAGTGCACACACACACACTTGGGCTTTCCAGCTACCTGACATAGTGAGAAAAAAGTTTTGAGGCAGTAGTACTAGGCTGAATCTGCCTTGCAGTCCTTGTGCAACTCTAAATGGAGACTGCTAATGACAATGCAAACTTTGTTGTTTCCCAATGTGTAAGATTTACTGTATTGTACCAAAAAAAGCCCAAACAAACCCCTATTTACCATAGCATGCTATGGTGGAAATAATAGCAGAAAACTAGTTTCCTTAAAGAAAACAAGAGTTTTTGAGGTTATGCTGTATTTTGGTTATTTTGTGTGACATAAATATAGAAATATAAATATTGATGTTCTGCTCTGCTATTTAGAAGATTTGAGCTTAGCTCAAATATTGCTTCCTTGAAATACTCTGGGGTGTGTGGGCTGCAAGGCATAGCAGCTAGATATACATGGACAGACTATTACAACTGCTTGCTTGCAATTCTGCTACACAAGCACCCAAGGTTTTCCTGCATTTCCAATGTAACTCCCCCCTCTTTTTCCAGTCAACAGCCCTATCGTTTCTCCTTAACCAAAACACCAGGTCTGGCCTTTGGAAGTGAGCCAGGATCCTAGGGTTTAGTAGAGCTAGTCACAACATGATCTTGCAAGTATAGTTAAGTTTATTTCCTACTCAGATGGCTGGCGTTCTGTGTATCAGATTGCCCTCAGTTTTGATTACTGGGTTTTAGCACTTTGATGAAAGCAATACAATCCTTGTCATTTTTCCCTGTGTAGCCAAAGCTGTGTTAACTGATTTCAGAAGTTGTTTTTTAATGATGCTATTTTATTTAAGCTTACTTCCCCATTTTCTTCCTTTGATACTTATTCTTAACACTAAAAATAAATTTAAAAAATACTCTAATGGCAAACAATCCTTTTCTAAGAATACAGTCTATAAAACTTTCCAAAAATAATATCTCATGTAACTTTGAACAATTGTTGTCTACACTTTTGCTTCAGTTGTTTTAAGAGTTTAGGTTGGATACATTTTGAAATTAGATGTTATTCTTCTGGGAACTATGATATAGCCAAAATATTTAAAGTCAAACTCTGCAACACAATGAGAGCACTGATTTGTAAATAAAATAGCATTTATGAGATAATATTGTCCTTTTGTAGTTATTAAAAACTGACAAAAGTTATATTGCTTAGGCACACATGAAAGTAGCTTAAAGACTACTCATATTTTTGCTAAAAAAAAAATCCTTAAAATTCATAGGTTTTTAAAGTACAAGATACTCAAAGGTTGCATGTCGGCAAAAAAGATTTCTTAGACTATCAATAAAGAAAATAACAGTTGTCTGTACCAAACAGTCCAGAACTGGTTTTGAAGGCTAAATAAAATTGTATTTTAATGGTTTTAAATCCTGTCAGATACATGGCTTGATAAAGAAAAGTTAGTATCGAAATCATTATTACATATGTGTTGTTAATCAAGGACCATCTTAAGACCTAAATTCAATAACAGAAATCCCTGTTCTGTAGAACCCAACATTTTAAAAGCACTTCTACAGAGCAGCCTTAGCTTTTTCTACTAGCAAGCTCCATATTATTCAGCAGCAGAAGACCAAGAACAGGAAGGTTAAGGTTGGTACACTCAAATTAGTGGGAGAGCCAGAAAGACTCTAGATCTGGCTGTTCACTGCCGATTTACCCAGGCCTCTCTGGCTTGGCTGAAAATGTTCTTTGCTGCTCTGAGACTTAGGGAGTCCACTTTTTAAGAGATCTTTTTCTTCTTGAAATGTACAACACCTTATCCACAAAAGGAACTCCACACTTTTTGTTTGCTTTTAAAATGTTTTTGACAAATGCCCTTATTGTGAATGTTCCAAACTATGAGTTACTTTTTCATTAACTGCTCTGTGTCCCATCACCTAACACTTACATACGACTTCTTCCCCAGACTGGATGTTTTCCAAAACCCTCAAGAAACTTTCAGTGTGGTCACAGGAGCACCACTGACTTAAGCATGTATTTCAGTGGGCATCTGGGATTTTCCCTATCTGCAATTATAATGCACTTACACAGAATTAATCAGGGATCCCATCAAAGCAAGCTTCAAATGTTTTGTTGATGTAGCTTTGTAATTAACACACTGAAATGTTCGGTCAGATCAAAACTGGGATTATCAGAGAGGACGTTAAACTGAATTCATTGCACTTCTGCCTGAAAAGGTAGCACAGTGTTTTTGCTTCAAAATAGCATGTAGGGCACTGCATTTGCTTCAAAGAAAGGCTTAAGATAGACCGTGTAGATTTACTGCATCATCAGGCTATACTTTCACTGTCATGTATTTTATTGCTGAAGGTTCTTCCAATGAATTAAGGCAACAGTCTCAGTGCTGGCTTGTTTATCCTAGGATGTTGCATTTGCTTCTGAACTTTAGCAAAGTTCCAGTGCTACAGGAAGTGTTACAGTTACCTTAAACACATATATTCCAGTTCTTGTTAGGATATGGCTCCCAAGAAGCCTCTAAAGAAAACCTTGTAAGTTGTTTTAAATCTTTTTTTGTTTGGGTGTTTATGAGATAGAAATTGATACAAAATTTCTAGCTACTGAAAAAAATGTATATTGCTACGTCAGCCCTAGTATTACATATATTTAGCAAGCTGCTGTTGGTTTTTGCAGGAAGAACAAGTGCCTCGAGTGTTGTAAACTGTGTTAGTGCATATTGTGTAGTTGATAGATACAACAGTTTTAAAGTGTTTTGCTATATTAATTATAACTACTGCCATGCGTATTTTGGTTACAGAATGGAGATGGCACCATTGACTTCAGAGAATATGTAATTGGTTTGTCTATTCTCTGTAACCCAGCCAACACAGAAGAGACTATTCGGATGGCATTTAAGGTAAGTCCAATTTAGTGTAAATCTACAAACCTGACAAATCAAGACTGACTGTAAATTGTGTTACCTTTCAAATCATAAGTTTATAGTTTTAATCTGTTATGCAAATGTGAACGATACTCTTAAACCAATTGACATTTCGAGTGTGAAGGAGAGGGAGAGAATTGCAGGCATCAGCTTCATGGAAAAGGGTTTTAAAAGCCATTTGAAGACACTAACAAA